TAGCTTGTCGTGAATTCCATTCCTCCATCAAACTTCATAAACAAGCCGGGACAAGCCTCGTTTTTTGGTTTTGTTTTTTGTAGTGTCAAAGCACTTTTCTGTTCTTTCTTGCTCTCCCTATGTTAACCTTCTTATCAGCTCTTTCAAATTTGCATTTTAATGAGTTTGCCTAAGTTTGAGATTGGTGCATAGCTGATTGATTGATATAATCTCTCTACGTTCTTGAACACCAATCAGCAAAATGAATAATCTTTTGTTGCTGACTTCCTTCGACATGTGCGCATGTCTTTGAGTCAATCTATAACCCTTCATGTCTTTAATTTCCACAAAATTACATTTTCCCACAATACAAGTTTTATTTTTTTAATTTTCTGAGAAAGCAATATAAGATGTTCCATTAAGGATTTTGCCCAATTTCCCTTTTTTTCCTATTTCAAATCAAAGACAGAATCACGCCCAATAATCAAAGCTGATGGGTGATAAATTTCAGTATGACATTCTTTAGAGATATTCTAAGATCTCATTCACTTTTTCCATGTTAGAGGGATCTTCACCGTTTCCAACTGTGTCTCCACATCCTTCTTATCAGGCGGAACTTTCCATAGTTTGAACAGATACTCTTCTCCTAATTTTACCATCTGACTTTTCCTTTTGACAAGAGGTCCCCAAAAATAAGTTTGCCATCATTCATTGCTCTATAGCAAAGCCTTCCTCTTCTAGCATCAGCGCTGAAGCTAATATTCTCTACTATCACCAAATAGTTTCCCCCAATTTCCTTCCATCCTCAGTAACAATTCACTGGGATCCTAATACCGCAGCTTTTAGCCTCTCTATTTCTGAAAAATGGTGCCCCGACAAGGTTGTGCGTACTTCAATTGTCCCACCAGGTATCTGCATATCCACCAATACATGTACTGATTACTTCTATCTACCCATGCTTGAGCAAATGGAAAGAAACCTTTTTTATAACACTACTGGTTCGAACCCTAGTCTTCCATAAGTATCATACTCTCTATTGTTTCACTAATGCAGATATGACCATCTTGTTGCAAATTCGACTTATTAGAATTTTACTGGAGAGACTCTTCTTCTGCATCTTCAGGTTGGGTTTCTTCTATTTTTTATATCCAATTACGGATCACCCACCCAATCTAGTTCTTCTCTCAGTTATCTGATCTTGCTTATGGATATCTCTCTTGACTTAGGATAGAATAAATGTTTTCTTCCATGCAAAGCACTCGTTTATCTTTTTACCTTTATTTTTAAACACTAACATACTAACACTGAAAACAACACACAATTGAGGCACCCAAGGCTATGGCATAATGGTCAATGAAGTGGGAGCAAACCTTGCAGTGGTGGAGCCAAAGTTCTCATTGAACGGATTCAACTTTTGTAAACATAGGTTACATCAAGTCTGCTTCAATTCAAGTCAAGGGGATTCAACCCTTGTATTTATCATGCATTTTATTATTTTTGGATAAAAATACATGTATAACAAGTATAATTTTTTAGCAAGAAGGGTATCATTTGAACCCCCTTGCTTCAAGGTAGCTGCGCCGCGTTTCTCATTTGCGTGAGCCTTGGTGGGTAGAGTTACAGGTACCCAGTAGAATAGTCGAGACGAGCTCAAGCTAGCCCAGATACCACCACTATTAAAAAAAATACACGCAATAGAGACTCAAACTAGAGGATATCAACTAGAACAACCACTAGGATCCCACTACTTACCTTATGCTCCTTCCCTTCATCCCCAACCAAAAATCACAAAATAACTTTGCAAAAGATTTTCTTATGCAATATATTTTCTAACTTACCAAAAACACATTGAAATTTACGACCACATGTAGATTATAATGTGAGACATACCAATACTTGTTCGAGGCACAAAGGGACGAGGCCTCCTCGGTCGAACCAAATCTTCACCTTCCATTCAGAACACAAAAATTGGTCAATTTGTCATGTTAAGGAGCATTATCAGAGTCACACACAAAAAAATATGATGAAATGACAGGAGAAGTAAAAAGAGAGAAACCTGAGAAGGACGAATAATGAAGATGTGAAGATGTCGAGCAACTTTGAGAATCAAATCCCTCCAGAAAATATAAAGAGGCTCCCAATCACTCCTCTGACCGCTGAATGCCTTGTACCTCGCAATCAACTTCACTTCATCGTCCCAATCAGGAACTTCTTTCCTCAAATATTCAATCAACCTCGACTCCTCTTCTCCTTTAACACTCTCCATTTGCTGGTTTTTGCCCATTAACTGTAAACCCTCTTAAAACGACAGGCCTCTAAATCCCTTTTATGAAAACTGGGAACAGAAAAGCTTCAAATTTGCTTCATATAACTCTATTTGAAATTGCTAAATTTTCGAAATTTTTGGTTTATCAGATCAAACTAGTGTATAACGCGGATAACAAAACCTATACAAATTATTTATTTCTTATTTATTCTTTATTAAATTACTACTATATATTAGGTAATGTTACTTTTTATTAACTTGTCAACAACATAATATTTTGATACTACTTTTCATTTAATGTAGCACTACTTTTCTTTTAATATAACATGAAAATACATTTTCACTCTGGAAATATTTTTATTTTTTATTATACTGATCAAAATTCTTCATAATTTATTTGAGTGATTCTTAATTATATTTTAATTTTTAATTAATTAAAAGTACAAATATCCTAAAATTATCTTTATTCCCTCTTTTTGTATATTCATTTCAACTCTAATATTTGATTAGTTTTCTCATTTTATATTTTACTGAAAATTTAAATAATATTATATATTTTTTACTAAATTATAATTTTTGAATTCATCAAAAGTATAAAGATAAAAGCTTACTATTATTTTTATAAAAAATCTATCAATACCAATATCGTTAATAATTCTTTCTTTTTTTAGTCGTTCTTTATAATTCTTTGTTTATTATGATTTGAATTATATGTTTATGTACGATTTTGTTACCATAATTCTAATTATAAGTCTTATATTTTTACTTATATTATGTCAAGTACTTAGTACTATACGTATATTATTTTCTTTCTACAATATATGAAATAATGTTTTTATTTTATACATTTTTTACTTCTTCCAAAAAATATGTTCTTTTACTATTTTGTATAATGTATCACTATATTTAGGATTTTTTTTATATTATATGGAATTCGCAATTACACTTTTCTTCTATTTTATTTTTAATATAAAGTTTTGAATTTTATATTTTTTACTATGCTACTTGTAATTGTTTCTGTATACGGTAAAATCGGAGGTTCCAATTTTCAGTCGTTACAACGCCTCGAAAGCACATCTCGAAGGCTCAAGACTACGGTCGAGTTTCATCCATCGAGGGCCATCGACGCTCGACCTCGGGGCAGTACAGGCCGACGATTACTGAGAGAAAGTGGGGAGTTCCCAAGGCGCATAAATAGGGCTGACAAAATCTAGTGGACTAGTCCAAAAAACAAATCAAGGCATTAACTAGTTGTACCATCTCCATATCTTTGTAGTAAATGTATTTGTATTATGTTGGGATTCCCCCTCCCCCTCATATATAAAGGGGATCCTTGCCATTTTATAAACATCTGTTGTTCAATACTAAATACACAAGAACATCATCTTTGCTCTCTAACATATTCTCTTGATCTCGTTACTTCATTTATTGCTCATATTTATTGTGTTCTATTTATTGTTCTTCATTTATTGCTTATTATTAGCCATAAAGAGCCGTCATTGATTTTATTATAACTGTTAGTCGTCCATCGACTACCCTTGAGAACTCTAAGCTGGCCATCTGACTTGACCCCGAGGCCCCGAATAAACAAGCTCGAGGCCCCGATTGACAGTCGTTCGGTTTGGTTAACATCTTGTTTTTAATCTCTTATCTTGATTCCAAGTACCTCACTTAACATCTATTGCTCAAACAACTAGCATAAAAATAGATCACGTATTTTTAGAACCACAAAATCAAATTTAATTGTTATTACCATTTTCACGGTAAACAGTTTGGCGCCCACCGTGGGGCTAAAAATAATAGTGATTATTTTCTTGTTGGTTTCACTACGTAACGCAAGTTATCTTTCACACTTTTTCTTGCCCAAGATCTTTGATTTCAGGTCAAAATGTCTGATTCAGTAAACAACAATCTTGAGAACCACAGAGAGAATGGTGTGGATGTTCCGGGTGTTGGTGTACCACCACGAAACCCTGAGAATTCCCATGGATGTGGTCTCACGCGATGCCCAACACGTCGATGTAAGCTCCCATACTAACATGAGTGTGTACCAAGGAGACCAATAAGAAGCTCAGAAAACCCCAGTTAGGGAAGAATGGGAGGTTAACTTTCACGTTATTTTTGAAATGTTGCAGGCACAACAGCTGGCAATTGCCCAGCTGCAAAGTCACCAGAAAACTCCCAGCACGGTAGCACCGGGGATGACTCCTCTAGCCGAGCAGGTACCGGAGAGATCAAGCAACAACGGGTCGGCAGCCGACCCCACCATCGTAAAGATGCTTGAGGACCTCATGAGGAGGATCGAATCGGGTTAGAAGAAGATAGAGGCCAACGACAAGAAGGTCGAGACCTACAACTCCAGGGTCGACCAAATTCCGGGCGCACCCTCGACCCTGAAAGGTGTGGATTCAAAGAAATTCGTACAGAAGTCGTTCCCACAGGAAGCGGCCCTGAAACCCATTCCAAAGAAGTTCAGAATGCCAGACCTTTCGAAGTACAACGGAACCTCGGATCCCAATGAGCACGTTACCACTTACACTTGTGCAGTGAAGGGCAACGACCTAAAGGACGACGAGATCGAGTCCGTCTTACTGAAGAAGTTCGGAGAAACGCTTTCTAAAAGGGAAATAATGTGGTATCACAACCTGGACCCAAACTCAATATATTCATTTGCCATGCTGGCAAATTCTTTCATTAAGGCACATGCTGGTGCCATCAAAGTAGCTACAAGGAAATCTGACGTCTTCAAGATCAAACAGAGGGAGAATGAGATGCTGCGAGAGTTCATATGTCGCTTTCAAATGGAACGAATGGAACTACCACTGGTTTTCGATGACTGGGCGGTGCAGGCCTTCACTAAAGGTTTGAATGAACGAAGCTCGGTGGCTTCGAAACAGCAAAAACAGAATTTGGTTGAATACCCCGCCGTGACTTGATCGGATGTTCACAACCGATATGAGTCAAAGATCAGGGTCGAGGACGACCAAATAGGAGCCCCCTCGGGCTCAGTATACCTAAGCAGGCTTTTGGCGAAGGAGCCAAAGCCAAACAAAGAAAGGTACCAGTTATACGCTGAAGACAGGAGAAACGCCCCGAGGCGCAACATACCTCGAAATGATCGAAGGATGGACCGAGGCCAGAACCTCGGGGACTCATCAACAGATCTAGATTCGATAGGCATACGGGGCCAACGGAGGCACCTCGCTTGACAGAATACAACTTAAACATCGATGTATCAGACATCATGTTTGCAATCAGTAAAATTAGAGACGCCATGTGGCCCAGGCTTGTGCAATCAGATCCTTCACAAAGAAACCATAACTTAGTGTGTGAATTTCACAACACGCACGACCACAGGACTAAGGATTGCCACCAGCTCCGAGAAGAAGTAGCCTGACTACTCAGTAAAGGTCACCTCTGAGAATTCCTCAACGACCAGGCCAAGAATCAGTTCCGAGAAAAAGAGGCGACCAAGAAGAACGAAACAAATGAGCCACAACATGTCATCCATATGATCTTGGGAGGCATCAATGCTCCATAGGAGCCCATGATGAGAAGAACAAAATTATCCATCACCAGAGAAAAGTGAACTCGGGGTTACATACCCGAGGATGCTCTCACATCTAGCGATGAGGGCATTGAGACCTTGTCTTAGCCTCACAATGATGCACTGGTAATCTTTTTCCTTGTAAATACATTTCAAATTAAACGTGTACTTGTGGATCCAGGTAGCTCGACCAACATTATCAGGTGGTAGAGCAGCTCAAAATGCTTGACCGAATCGTGCCCGCCTCTCGAGTCCTCAATAGATTCAACATGGCGAGCGAAACAACGAAAGGGGAAATCACCCTCTCGGTCAATGTGACCAGCACAACCCAAAATGCCAAATTCCATGTCATCAAAGGAGACATGAGGTACAACACCTTGCTCGAAAGGCCATGGATACACTGCATGAGAGCAGTACCATCCATCCTCCATCAAATGATGAAATTCCCGATAAAGGATGGGATTAAAACCGTCTACGGGGAATAGCATGCAGCAAAAGAAATGTTTGTGGTGCACGATGTGATGCCGGGGCCAGTACCTCCACCCTCGAAGGAGACAAAGGATAATCAAATAGTAAAATAGCGATAGTAAACTATGTCTTCGGCTAAGCCCGACTAAACAAAATAAAGGATCGTACCGAGTCCTCGTAATAAGCGATTGAATCACATCGAGAACAGAAGCGTCGTCGACACTAAGGTATGGCCATTCCTTTTTTAGTTACATTTTCTACTAACCTGAATACAGGTATCTGATCAAAACGACCGAAGTGCTTCCCAACTCAAAGGCCTTAGGTTTCAAAAGCATGCATTGCACTCTTTTCCTTCAATCGGGTTTTTATCCCAAGAAGGGTTTTACCGGCAAGGTTTTTAACTAGGCAACATATATATGCTACCTAAGGAAAACTCAACAAGTATTCAAGGCTTCTTTTACAATCAACTTCGAATACTGGTGGGCATCCCCCCGGAAGGTCACCTACTCGGAGAAGCCAAGATGCGCCAAACGGGGTCTCGATAGGAAAATAATGTATCGGGACAAACGGTCGAACAAACCGTGTCCATATAGAATAACTGAGCCCTCAACAGCAAAAGGCATGTATGGTTGTACCAACTAATCAAAGAATACTTTCCAAAAGCATTTTGCATTCCAAAGAAGCTCGGTATTTTTGCAAAAACGATTCCTCTGCCAAAAAAGTCCCAAACACTCGAGGACTGGCATCAACAACTCAAAACCATACGACCCTCGGGTCGGAGCTTCAAACTCGAAAGCCCTCAATAAGGCAACATCTAGATCACTAAACGGCTCCAGATCCAAAAACATCCCAAACACTCGGGGACTGGCGTCAAAAACTCAAGGCCACATGACCTCCTGGTCGAAAATCCCAAAATCGTAAGCCCTCAATGAGGCAATACCAAGTTTACAAGTAATGTCTCCCGAGCCAAGAAGTCCTCGATGACTCGGGGACTACCGTCAATCACCATCTCCATCGACTTATCGACAAGCCGAGGCCATAAGACCCCAAATGGGCAGACTCGGTCTCATAAGACCTACATAAGGCAATAACAATCTGTAAGACCTCAAGCAAGGCATGAACCACACTTGTACCAAGTGACAATATCTGTAAGACCTCAAGCAAGGCATGAA